CAAGAGCATTTTCTCGTTGCCCATGAGGCGGGTCGAACGCGCATCCCTTCCGTGTCCAGCTCGTTCAGGGGGGAAAGTGATCGCCCTCTCCGCCGAGTGATTGGCCGTTTCATCGTGGCATTAAATATAATCCCCCGTGACGATACTCCGTCCTGACCGTATTGTCAATTTCCCATCAATCTCCATTCTTCGATATGCAAGATTTGCTTCCAATCGAGTCAAATGACGATGGCATACCAATCAAGGCCACATGGAGTTGACAGCCGCCTGCAGGGAGTGACAAGTGAAATACCGAGTTAAATCGCCGTGTCTCTCATTTTCCACCCACTTTTCATTGCTATCTGCACTACCTCATTACAACGAGATATCAATCGGCACGGGTCCGTATCCACCCCAGCTTACGGAGGAAGTCATTATTCCCGCCGGTCTAGATTTTCTGCTGATTCTCGTCCTTGCCTTATTTTTGGCTTTCGATTGTTTCTAACCGCAACTCGCACTGCCAATTACGTACATATAAATTCAACAACAGCAATACAAAGGTATATCACATAGAACCCCCATGGGGTCCTGTTTGAATAGTTAAAAGGGGAAAGGAAAAAAAAAAGAAAAGAAAAAGAAAAAGTATCAAAACAAGAAGAGAAAATCCAATAATCACAAAGTCCTCAAAAAAATTCACCAGAAATGAAACCCAACACATACGAAACTCCAAGGCCCGGTCCGTGATCTGATGGGAAACAAAGAGAAGAAATAAAGAAAATTCAGCGCCGAGGTGTGCACTTGCGAGATTGTCCATCCCACCCCGTCCTTACTGAACGAAAGACTGCCGGCATGGTTTAACATGCACCGCTCTCGATTCGGGGTATCATCGACCTGCAGCTAACCCCTTGCAAGGATGGAGGCAGAGGACACGAGAGAACGAATTAGGCCCTTATGGGGCCAGTGGTGGGATCCATATGAAGCGAGCGTAAATTAAGATCGTAGCGGAAACCAGGCCGAACAAGAACACCGGATATGTGAACGCCTGGAAGATCATGGGGTTTTGTACAGCATAACGAATGAAAAAGAAAAGAAAAGAAACAGCCCCTGAAGGATTCAGGAAAGAATGTTTCTGCAGGGCTCATTACAGTTAGATCCCGGGCCAGCGATTGCGCAGCCCTTCGGACCACCGCTGGTAGAGCACATCCGACAACTGCTTGGTATGCTCCATTCCAGGGACTTGTTGGCCCGGAAGATTGGCTAATTGCGCCGGTTGCAAACTGGGATCAGCTACTGCCGTGGATTGCCGCCGTCGGTGGCTTTTTAGGTGCGGGTTGTTTTGTGCCAAAACTAGACGTGGTCTCTGTGGGGATTCGGGTGGTGGAGCTGCCTGTGGGACAAGACCTGACAGCTTTGGATCACTGTTTCAAAAGCTCCGTTAGCAAATGCCGATTCCGTCCGTCACGGGGAACCTGAGCTCGAAACTTACCCTTGAAGCTTTTCGTTCATGATCTTAAGAATGTGGTACAAGCCCTCGGGATCCACCATTTCAAGATCACTCCAGGCCTCTGCGAGCCGGGAAATCGCCTCTCGCTTTTCCTGGTCCCCAGTGGTCCCCAGAACCTCCTGGCAGGACAGGCCAACAGCTTTGCTGTATGCCCGTCGTCCGAGTTGTGCTTCCTTGCTGTTCGGCTCCGAGAACAGTGTCTTCGGGCTACTGTTCTCATCAGGTCCACAGGAGTACTGGGAGCTATACGAATTTTCGGACGGGATCTTGTCCGATACCCGACGAAACTGCCGGACGGTCGATGGACTGTTGCCAAAGGTCAAGTCGACGCCCAGTGGCTGCTTGATTCCACTGGAGCGCCGCTTCCTATAGCTTCGCCGCGTGGAAGGACTGCGCTCAGGGGCCGGGGTTCGTCTCACCGCGGTATTAACCGCGCTATTTGCTGCGCTAGTCGGAGCGTGCTTCGGCAGGGGCGGAGGGCTGGAGATGTGCATGTCGTTTATCATTTCCGATGTTTCGTCGTACAGGAAGTCTTGGGAGTCTAAGTCATTTTCGTCCACGTATGGGTCCTCCGGGATTTTCATGGTAGGTGCTTTGACAGTGTCGAAGACCCATCCGTCGTCATCCTTCAAGTGCGTGATGGTATTCCTAGATCACGATGTTAGTGGATATCATGTGTGAGCCAAGTCGGATGCACATACAAAGATTCAGCATAGTACTTGACGTTCCGCGTCACTCCTCGTCCAGCATCCCAATCCTGTTTCCGATGGATCAGCTCTTGTAGCGCTTCGGTCTTCCCCGCATTCCGGATAAATTTATGTCGTAAAAGATCTTTTGCGCTCGGTCGACGGTCCGGGTCCTTGGTGAGACATTGGGCGATAAAGTCCTTAAAGGTATTGCTGTATTTATCTCCTTCCAGTCGGGGAGCCGGCTCCTTCGGGATCAGAAAGAGTACTTTCATCGGATGAGTGCTGGCATGTGGCGGCTCTCCATTAATCATCTCAATAGCGGTAATTCCCAGCGACCAAATGTCTGCCTTGTAATCGTATCCCGACTGCTGAATCACTTCTGGTGCCATCCAAAACGGGGTTCCGACGAACGTGTTACGTTGTGATTTGATATTGATCAGCTGTGCCGCCACGCCAAAATCCGCCAATTTGACCTTTCCGACATGTGAGAGAAGCACATTCGCAGCTTTGATATCGCGGTGAATCTTTCCTTCGCTGTGTAAGTAATCCAAGCCCTGTAACAGCTGCTGGCAGATAATGGCAACATGTGCTTCATTAAAAACGCCCGGTTTCAGCTTGTCCTCATTAGCAAAGTTCCGTATCAGACAATGAGCGTGTAAATTACCAGGTCAAGACAAGACCCTCCGCCTAGATATTCCATCACAATCCACAGCTTATGACCCCGAAGAAAACTGGCTTTGTATTGCGTCACGAAGGGACTCGCGCACGTCGCCAGCACAGAGATCTCCTGTTGAATTTCTTGGATATCATCTTCGCTTGACTCGAGATCGATCTGAAAGTAGCAAACAAAGTCAATGTGAAACTCTCCGAATCGAAAACTGCACGCGGTGAACCTACGTGTTTGACCGCAACAATCTCTCCAGTCGACTTTTCAATGGCCTTGTACACGATTCCAAAACTGCCACCTAAACACGCAGAAACAATTAACCAATGTCATTGAGGCCATCCTGCGACGGTTGCAGCTTACTGCCCAACTCCTCCATCATCTGGTACTGGTTCGCCATATCGTCCGCCATGTTTCCGGATTTGTCGGCGCCTCAGGGGGCCACAAAGAAAATGAAAAATGAAACACAAAGATCAGAGATATCAGGAGACAATGAGCAACCCGTACAGCCAGCCAGCTAACCGTGTCCGGCGAGACCTTGGAGTTGAGCTCAATGAGTCGAGATTATCGACCTTGGGAAGGGCGCGGAGAGGGAAATCGAGATTAGAGTAAATTGGTTGCTCCCGTCGTATCCAATGGTCAGCTGCCGCTCTTTTCCATGGTTCGCGGAAAACAACAGGCGGTAGCGCATGGCAACCGCCGCCTGAGGCACCGAGTGGACCCTAAGGTTCTGCACGATTAGATAATGCCCCGCATGTGGCCTCAGGCTGCAGCCTGTAGCGGTTTAAATTCCCGGAGACCGTCGGCCAATCGTATTATGCTCCAAGTGACCACCGAGGTACTCCACCATATGCGAGAGTATCTCTCAAAGAGCACGATTTTAGCTAAGAACCTTGGCATCCATTCAATATCATAGCCGCTTGCGAGATACTCTTATTCGAAGTCAATCATTCCACTACTATGATCTTAATTCTATCCTTCTTCTTGAGCAAAGAAGGCCGGCACAGGTCTTATTGTGGGAGTTATAGGTTCATCAAACAAGATCCCTTATGATTGGCATCGCTCACAGAGATCGACAAAGATCAATACGGTCGTTTAGAATACCATCCATTAGATCACCATCCTGAGCTAAAAGATCACCAGCAGCTTGAACAACCACCCGACACATTGGTTGTAGCCCACAAGTATTGGTAAATATCATTGTATGTCTTCCAGCCATGTTCACAATTTGCTCATCTTTGGGAGTGGCACCTCCCAAGCACCAAAATACTGTACTCTAAACTCATAAGCAGAGCCTGTGAGTATCTCGCCTGTGTTGGGTCGAAGTCAGGATAGGTTCACCAACGTCTGATGAAAGCGACCTGGGCGAGAATTGCAGTGACAATTTAATAGAAAGTAGGTGGTAACCTGTTATCAACTTGTTGATGCTTTGTTGGTTGGGGAACAACATGCCGGGCTCATGACCTATTGGACATGAATACATGGGAAACGCTGTCGCAAAGGTGCACCTTGTTTCTTTCTTGCTGCGAATCGCGTCGAAGGCACACATTATGGAGGGGTGTCCTGTAAGGTTGACCGGCGTATATATAACATGAAGCAGGTCCTCACGGATATGGAAGAAGGCAGAGACCTGATAAGGACAATCCAACGCCAATCTGAGGGCTTTTGCGATTATCTTTCTATATCTCGTATTGGCCTCCGTTTGTGACTGCACAGTATGATACAGAAAAGCTTAAGGAATGAATACATTTGTACTGTAGAATTGCTCGGACCCAGTATAATATAGAGGCGGCGATTGACCAACTCAAGCATCTAGGAGAGAGGCCCTTTAAATAGACAAACTTGTGCAGAGACCATCAGTTTTTACAAAGAGATTCTATTGAACAAAGACCAGTGGCGCCATCACGTGGCGTACCTTGTTGGAGAACACCTCCATTTTTAATGTTAACTGGGGTCCAATTGTGTTCTGGTTGGTAGGGTAGGAGACAGACATAGTGGTGAATAGCTGATGATAAATGCCCTTTTTGTTTTCTTCAGATATAAAATATGTGCGAATCATAGAAACAGTCTACAACGCCTATCGGTTCGAGTAGCACTTCTACATCGACTTCGTGAGATACAGGAGCAAACGCGATAATTCTTGAACCCAATAAATTCACACTCTGTGGTATAATAACTTCTTACATCAATACAGAACGCAGCTGCTTTTAATAAATAATCTAAATGTATTTGTAGGGGTTCATAATACCGTTCTAGCATAGGCGTTAGCTGTTGTATACACACAACGAAGATCGAAGTACTTACTGGATCGTACAAATCCTTCAATTGCTTCATCAGTTTCACCATGGTCTCGTCTTGGCTGTAACCAATGAACTCCTTCTTTGCAATTCCCAGTCCATGCTCGGCACTGATGCTACCGTTGCGCTTCTGGATCCACTCGTACACCCAGGGCTCAATGGCCTTCTCGACCTCCTTGTTGTACTCCCGCACAGAAATGTTCAAGTGCAGGTTGGAGTCACCCATGTGACCGTAGCCAACAACAGCACGGACAGGGAAGGAGTCGTCGTCACCGACAAACCCAAGCTTGGTCAGACGCTCGCGGCAGTCGTCCACGAGCTGGTATAGTTCAGGAAGAGGAATCGAGACGTCGTACTTGTATGTACCACCCAGGTGGCTCAGAGCCTCGGTGATACCTTCTCTCCAGCGCCAGATGCCCTGGAACTGGGTCTCATCCTGCGCCAAGACACCATCGGCGACGATACCCTCGCCCATGATGTGTTCCAAGAAGCTCTCGAGCTTGGCCATATCGTGCTCACCATTCGATCCGCTGGTCTCGACTACACAGTAGAAGGGGTATTCACTATCCAGAGGATTCTTGTTGCCAGTGGACTGGTGGACAAGCTGCTGACTGCGGCCGTCCATGAGCTCGAAAGCGGAGAGAATCTCAGAGAGATGAGACTTTGCCTCCTGGTGCGCCTGGCGCACTTGCTCGTAGCTCTCCACACCAAAGTAGGCCACGTTGACCGCCTTCGGGCGGGGAGGGCACAGGATGGAAAGTCCAGTGATGATACCGATCGTACCCTCCGCGCCAATAAACAGCTGCTTGAGATCGTAACCGGTGTTGTTCTTGCGCAGAGTCGAGAGAGAGTTGACGATGGTACCATCCGCCAATACCGCCTCAACACCAAGGATGTTGCCATGAAGACTACCATACCGAAGCAGACGCAGTCCGCCAGCATTCGTAGCAGCATTACCTCCGATATGGCATGAGCCCTTAGCCCCCAAATCCAGAGGGAACAGATGGTTCCGCTCCGCCAGGTACTGATCCGCCACCTCCAGGATAACACCCGCATCGGCGACCAGGACTCCCGAGCCTCATCGAAGGAGCGAATCTTGTTCATGCGCGACGTATTGATGACAATCTCATCGAACACCGGCACGGAACCTCCCACCAATCCAGTGTTGCCACCCTGGGGAACCACCGCCAATTTCTTGTCATTACAGTACTTCAGCACCTGGCTCACCTCCTCCTTGTTCTGAGGTTTCAGCACCAGTCTTGTGTGGCCGCGGTACTTGCGCATCCAGTCACTGTTGAACGGCTCAATATCATCGGCGGCATCGGTCGTCACACCATCGATCACAGCCGACTGGGAGCCCAACAGCTCCTTGAAAAAGGCCACATCTTCGGCTGTAATCTCGGCAAACTTGGGGTCACGCTTGAGGTTGGGATACGCGCTGCTGGTGTACTTGATCTCCTTGGTCGCATTGACGGCGGAGGTGACGCTAAATGAGCGAGTAGCGATGCGAGAAGGAGCACGAGAGACGATGGGCTGGACGAAACAGCGGGGTCTGGGCAGTCGAGCCCTCCGCAGGGCGACCGAGACGTTCCTGGCACTCGACATGGTGTGGTGGTTGGCAAACAAAAAAGTGAAGGTTGTCGGCCAACGGCAGACTAAAAAGACTGACCGAACCGGAGTTGGCGCCGACTCCGGAGTTGCTCACAACATCCCGACCGAACATGGAAAAATTTCCGGCTGAAACAGGGTAGCAAGATACAGTACAAGAATAATTTATATACGCTGTGTTTAGTCTTTACCTCGTATGTTTATTCATTAAATAATTCATTCTAATAGGATCAATATATATACTATTTCAACGATTACCCTTCTATGTGAAAAAAAAACAAAAAAAAAAAAAAAACAAAAACAAAAATGGTACCAGCAAATGCAGTGTAATTAGCGGAAGATATATATATTGTTTGATATATCTTGAACTTTTCCCTTTGAATTACAATCCCAATTATATACAAATTCGTGAATAGCATACTTTATTCACTGACCCAACATCCTGGAGATGGTACTTCTTGTATCTACTGGGCTGGTAGAAACAATTCTTATGGGTAGTTCGCAAATAGCCATGTGAGTATCCATAGATATGTGGCTTGAATCACAGAGAGATTTCCCCAACTGCACCGAAAACAATAGAAAGAAAAGGAAGACAAGAAAAATTGAACAGAAATAAAAATAGAAAAGAGCCCATACAGAAAAGATAATAGGTTCTGGCCAGACTTTAGAACCCTACCAATATGAAAATCTCTATAGGATGTGGCCTACAGGATTTGTTACTGGGTACATTGCAGCCTCGTATTAATCCATGGAAGGGTTTCATCGAAGTATTTTAACCCCGGTTGATTCAAGAAAAAGGTACTTTGCATTGTAAACGAATCACCGCTCGAGGCGGCTCAGCCAAATTTGGAGCCAAGAACCGCCATTGGGCAACAAGGTCCAAATAAGGAAAGGAGTCAGTCCCGATGTAAATAAATCGTCTTATGATAGAAAGTGCCTACTGTACAAACGACACAAACATGAGAACATAACAGTTCCAGCTTCAAAGACAGGAAGCAACAACTGCATCGTCATCATACATCGCATCAGCCGAGTCCTTTTTTGTTTCCACTAAAACTGAGCGGAAAGCGGTTCAGGTTACGTCACTACTATTGTGCCCCGCAGAGTCACAAAACATTCTTGAACACCTCCAGCCAAACCTCCTTCCGTCATGACCACTATTGAGTCAACTTCCGAAAATATGTCGAGCGTCGTCCTTGTTACTGGTGCTACCGGCCTGCTCGGCCGGCAAGTATTCAACACTTTCAAGCACTCAGGGTGCTTTGTCGTCGGTCAAGGCTACTCGAGAGCCAACCCACCTACCATCCTGAAAGCCGATTTAGACAACAAGGACGACATTCAGCGGATCTTGGACGAAGTAAAGTAAGTGTTGTTGGGAAGATTTGGTGTGAGGTTGTCCCTCTTCGTGAATAAGTGCTCCGCACGGGACGTACATATAATAAACAAAGAGCTAACATGGATGATGCGCCACAGACCTCAGATTATCATCCATTGTAAGCTAAAAGAGTATCGTAAAATATCTCACGGGGAAGACTGACACGCACATCTTAGGTGCCGCCAATCGTTCCCCCGATCTGTGTGAGCAAGACCCCGAGAAAGCGCGTCGGGTGAATGTCGAGGCTACGCGCATCCTTGCAGAAGAAGCCTCGTCCCGCGGCGCATTTCTCATTTACATCTCTACGGACTACGTGTTTCCCGGCACGGAAGGTGAAGCTCCGTATGCAGCTGATGCCGAAACGAACCCTCCCAACCTGTATGGCCAGCTGAAGCGGGATGGTGAGCTTGCGGTCCTGGAGGCGACCAAGGAGACTGGACTCGGCCTCGTCCTTCGGGTGCCCGTCCTGTACGGCCCTTCTGAGAACAACTCAGAGAGCGCGGTCAATTGTCTGATCGATGCGGTGTGGAAGTCTCAGGTTCCCGAGTCGAGCGTGAAGATGGATGACTGGGCCCAACGGTATCCCACCAACACTGAAGATGTTGCGCGCGTGTGTCGCGATATTGTCATTAAGTATATCAAAGAGCGGACGCGGTTGCCGCAGCAGCCCCATATTCTCCAATTCAGCTCAGAAGACCGTATGACCAAATATGAGATCTGCGAGACGTTCGCGGAGGTACTCGGACTACCCCTGGATAGGATGATCAGGAATAAGCAAGGGAACGATCCCGGCGGAGTACAAAGGCCCTATGATACTCATCTATCGACCCAGGGACTCAAGGACCTCGGAATTGATGTCCGGACTACGGATTTTGTCGCGTGGTGGTAAGTTGATATTAGGATCGTCGGTAATGCATGGAGCTAATGCGAAGAACCAGGCGAAAACATCTGGGCGCATACAAGAAATAAGCCGCTGCGATGTGCATTTTTGAATCACAGTTGGAACTTATTTGTGGAGACTGAAAGGCCTGTGTGTGTACCCAGGCACAGGCACTAGAGAATGACGCAGCGATCGCGTACTGGAAAAGTGGCAGAACGTTCCAGACAAGTTGTAGCGGACTTGGTGGATATATGCCGGCGGAGTGGGTATGCGCGATAAGTATTTACCATACAAAGAGAAGTGTCTCATAAAGTGTCTATTGCATAATGGGAATAATGACGATGACATCAGAAATCAAAGATTTGTATTTTTTTTTCTTTATTGTTTTCGTTTTTAAGGTGTAAAACCTGGAAGGGCAGCAGGACTAGTTTCTTGGGAGTCTCACCGATCCAACCGCAATTTCACGATTCTTCTGTGTCAGCCCCTAGAGTGCGATCCATACCAATTGACACCGCGGGTGCTTCCCCAGTGCGCTATGCCCTATTGGGTGGGATTAAATCTCACTTGGGGACGGCGCTAGACTCGAAAGGGACAACGGCAGTGACTTCGATGCGCCAAACCCACAAAACTGACCGTTATTTCCTGATTTTATTGTCATCGTTGAATCCGCCCTGTCAGTATTAGTTGTTAATTTTAAAAAATTTAAAAATAAAAATAGTACAGAAAAAAAGACAAAAAAAGGTACGCATTCCTCACCTGTTCCAATTCATCTTCTCTTTTCTCCCCACTCCCGTTCTCGGTCTCCGATCACATTCCAGATATTCCGAGGGCGAAGGGTACCTGAATAAATTCCAACCTCCTTACTGCGTGCAGCGTCGTGCCTGCGCCTTTGCCACCTGATCGTAACCTTTTTTACTCTGGTTTCGACGACAGTCTCGTCCTTCTCTCTCGCTCTCTCTCCACTCTCTACTTGCCCCCACCCCACTGTTGATTTGCACTATATCTCCGCACATTCCAGCCCCGATTGAGATTCTGTCTTCCTTGTTTCAATGCATCCGGCCCCCTTTTCTTAAAACTATCCACTGTGTGTACTGACTGGAGGGAAATGAGCTGGTCAAACGTCTTGTGAAACATACATGCAACGTTCAGGGGGTAGCATTCAACGAAAAGCAGACCCATTGTTATTTCACTCGACCCTCCCCTCGGTGTGTCGATCCCTCTGTGTTTATTCTCTTGAGAGACCGCCTTGACCTGTGGTGCAGGACTAAGACTGACACCGTTGAACTTATTTTCTACTTGCATTTTATTTATTCTGTTTGTACTTGGGCCGTCCTCTCTGGACCTTAATTGCGTGGAAGAATTCATTCGGTGTGAATTACCGATAACGCTTGTACTGCTGCGCGGACCCTTACGTGCGATGATTGCCGTGTCTCTGCGACGTTGCGAGGACTGAGAACCTGTGCGCGAAGCGAACCATCTACAATGACAGCGATGGCGATGGAAAAGCCGGAAAGTGCGGTGGCTGCGGGCCAAGGCCCAGCGCCCATGAAATTTTCCCGCTACCGCTCTGTGAGAAAGGCTGCGTCGCAAAAGCCACACGCAATGCACCCGCCACCGGTGTCGACTCTTCCAACTCTCCCTAGCGCATCGTTGCCCGGACTGCAGGAGGGCGGAGCTGCAGTGAATGGGACAAACCCTGCGATCAAGAGGAGCATGTCGCGCTACCGGCGTCAGAGGGCGGCGACGGAATCTTCGTCTAACGCGCCTCCACTACCGGTCCCGGGGGACCGTGTCCTGGCCCACCGAGCTAAGCCACACGCGAACGCGAATGGTGGTGCCGTCCAGCAACCCTCACGCGGCAGCCCAGAAGATGCCAACCTAGTGGATGCATCGTACAATGCGACGTCGGCAAGAGCTGAGAACCGACGGAGGGCGTTCAACGTTCAAGAAACTGCGGTGAACCCATTCCTGACCGACAGCGAGGAAGACGAGGAAGTGCGTCAAAAACATCGACAGGATGCGATGAATCGCTTGACCGGAGAGGATAGGAAGCCCTCAGCACCGGCTCCACATCGGAGGCACACGACGCGGGAGAGAGACGTCAAAAGGCCAGAGGAGCGGCCTCCGCGCAGGAATGTAGAAGGTCTCGCAAGCCGGCGTACTAGCCAGGACTCGAAACGTCTTTCGAACAAGGAAATGCCCATGCCTTCGCGCTCGACAGACAAAGCGAACAAGGAGGTCACGGCGATCGATACCAGTGTAGGAAATAATTTCCCCGGGATTGACGCACCCGTCTCCGCAGTCAATGCCGGTGAGCGAAGGGTTGTTGTCCAGTACAGGAAGACGTCCCTGAATCTTCGGGTTACCCCGTCCACAACAGCCCATGATCTGTTGTCCCTAGCCGCAGATTGTCTGGCGGGCGAGATTGACCCACCCAAGTTTATTATGATGGAGTCGTTTGGGGAACTCGGACTGGAGCGGCCCTTGCGTACATACGAGTGCGTTCGGGACGTCATGAACTCATGGGCCCATGATCAGGAGAACTCGTTGATCATTGTACCCGCGGCCAGTCTCGACGCGCTCTCTTTATTGGACTCGCGACACGCTCCGAGTGAACAACCCACGGAAGTGACGCTGCACATGTATTACTCCCAGCGTCCGCGCAAATGGGACAAGCGCTACGTTACCTTGCGGGCGGACGGACAGATCACTTTGTCTAAGAAAGAGCAAGGCCAGGATTCAATGAACGTGTGCCATCTGTCTGACTTTGACATCTATTCGCCCACGTCCAGTTACCTCTCGAACAATGTGAAACCGCCAAAGAAGATCTGCCAGGCGATCAAAAGCCAGCAGAAATCTAGCATGTTCCTGACGACGGAGAATTTTGCTCATTTCTTTTCCACCAATGATAAAGCAGTTGCCGATACATGGTACCGAGCGGTGCAATCCTGGCGCAGTTGGTATCTGGTGACAAAACTCGGCGCAGGCCTCCCGGCGGACCAGGTCGATTCCCCCGTAGACGCAAGCGATGCCTTACCTGGTCACAAGAAGCCCTTCAAACCTTTGCTCAACTTGGATTCCCCTCTCAACTCTGGTGCGGAGAATAGCGACTCGCCGATCGATCGTGCAAAGGCGTCCAAGACTAAGGAACTGTTCTCCCGGAAGAAGAGCACACGAGAGCACGCGCCGCCTCCCTCATCGTTTCCAAAGATGTTCTCCGATGAAAGTGACTTGTCCGCTGCGCAGTCATCGGATGAGTCCCCTTTCGCCTCCGGTGGTCTGCTGGGTCGAACCTATAGTCAACGCCACCGTGCGATGAAGGAGAGGGAAGAAAAGGAGAAAAAGGCCGCGGAAGAACCATTCACCAATGGCCTCATCGGTGCTGTGGATACGCGTCGTCAATTTGCTGGCCAGGGTACTCGCGCTAATACCCAACCAAATAGCCGCTCGAATACAATGACGTCGCGCAGGCGCCGGACCCCAGTGCCATTGTCAAACGGTCGCAGTCCGTGAAGACCAAGCCGCTTGTCGATCTGACTCCTGTCTACCAAGAGCCTCCGCAGCACACTCGTAAAGGTCGAGGAGTTACGGTTGAAGCTGGAAAGCCACTTGTGGCAGCTGCGACGGGACCGGAGGTCCCTGGTGGGATTGTCATTCCACCCGCGACGACCTGGAGACGACCGGAGCTGCCGTCGCCCACCACAGACGCTCGGACTCGAAACCGCTCCAATACCAACCGCAGCGCCAGTAGCCAGCAGCGCCATCAGTACTCACGCACTGCGCCTACGTCTCCGGCAACTCCTGTGGACCCTTCGCAACCTCGCGAGGAACCGTTCATACCAAACAGCCTTTTAGCTCGTTCTGCGCAGGTCGCGGCTGTGCCTGGGCAGCCAAAAGGCCATGGAGTAGCCACTGGCGACCGGAACGCTTCGAAGCCGATGCTGGACATGTCTCCCGAGAACCCTTTTGCCGAGGGTAGCCTGCTCCGTGATTTGTAGCCTCTTTATTTGTTATGATGATGACTTGCACCATTTGTCCCCGCATTGGATGCTCATTTGCGGATGGCGTTGGGTTGATTTCTGTAGTTGACTGCATCTCGGAGCTTTTATTTCTGATTTATACCAAGATTTCCTGGATTTGTTCCGATGATATCCTCAGTTGTTTTTGCTGACCGACTGATCCTGTTTGCTAGTGACAGTTAAGCTGACCAGCATTTAGTGGCTGACCGTGGTCCGGTATTCTGAATCCATGTACTTGAGACATGCATTGACTGTTTAAGTTGATACCCTTGAACGAACAAGAATACAAACATAAACCTATCTTTAACCAAGCACAAACAATGCATACGTAAACACAAATCATCACCTAAACACACCACACACATGGTAGTCAATCCAAACCACATATTACACCACCCAAAAACAAAAAACAAGATCAACTCCTAAACCCCCTCCACCTCTCTAATAAACCCCACAATAACCTCCGCCGTCTCCATGGGCATACTATAAAACGGCGAATGCGACGCCCTCAACCGCCCCGTCCGGACTGGAAAAGGCGCACTGCTCCTCATCATGTCAACCAACATCTCCTGCACCGGAAGCCCCAGCGCCCGATCCTCCTCACAGAAAATATAAGCACACGGGATATCCGCCAGCTCGTAATTGACACTCTCAGTATACGCCCCAATACAGCTATGCGTCAGCTGCGCCTCCGCTTCCACCAGCATGTCGGGCGAGAGGTCATGGTAGAAAGATTCTTTCGCGGAGGTTGCCCGGCAATACGAACCCTATATCGAATATCGCATTAACCACCATACCAAACGAAACCAACGACAATACAAACAAACGAAAAACCAACACCAAGAGAAAACAGAAACTAGAAAAGGAGAACCAGAACCCACCTCCAAAACCATATTCGCAGGTCTATACTCCCCCAATACCCCAAAAAGGCTCTCCCCCCGGGGTACCAGAAACGCAGTCATATAAATCAGGAGTACAATGCCCCCCTGCAGACCCTGTTCGGCACGTTCTTGCCTCCCGAATCCTTCGGCTGCATTGGAGATCACAAGGCCGCCGTAGGAATGGGCGATTAGCACGACGTCTTTGCCTTCTTGGTCGATGAGGCGGGAGAGGGTCTGGCGGAGGTTGGTGGTGTCGTCGGTGAGGGTTTTGGTGGGCGGGTCGGCGCCATTGGTGGGGTGGGCGATTGTTTGGGCTGGGTAGCCGGCTCTCTGCAGGGCGGTTTGGAGGTGGGTGAGGCTTGTTGGGGTGTGCCAGGAGCCTGGGCATAAAAGGAGGGTTGGGGGTTGTTTGGGTTGGGACATGGTTGGTCTAAAGGTGGATTGTGAGGGTGATTATAAGGGTGGCTGTTGGTGAATGGGAAGGTGATGTAGGAAGGTTGGGGTTTTTATATTCATGGTTGTATGAATAGATCTGGGAATTGAGGCTGGATGATGTGATTCATCGGGTATACCGGCAGGTGTGGGATTGGATAACAACATCTGTTTTTGGGGTCGAAAGGCTGTAGATTGGATTGATTTGGTCGGACAGGTGAGGCCATGTTCATGATATTTCTTGATCGATTAGGGCCCGAATCCGATCGTACCTGGAATACGAACCGGCCAATTAAAGAGAGCTATGTGGGGTTTATATCACTCTATGGGGTACGGAGTACATGGGCGTTTAGATGGAAAGTTGTCCTAGCCCAGTGCTTACGTCTTATACCTCCAGATCAACGTCTTCGCCTCTGATACATCGAGTTCATGGGCTTGCAAGGCGTTAATTGTTTCCTCTAGCTGCAAGCGAACTGTGCGTCGCTCGAGGTGCTCGGCTGTCTCAGACATGTTTCCTACTAAAAGGTTTGAATTTGAAGAGGGGGTAGCCTGGGTAGTAGACAAGTTAGATGTTTGGATGCGTATGAATGTTTTTTTATCAAATGGTGGAGCGTCGTTGCCCCGCGACGCGCCAAGACATTTGACTTCGCATCTCTTTTCTTATAGTTGAATGTTTAATAGATTCAATATGCCATACTATGAAGTAACCACGGCGCGTATACCATGCATTAGTCGTCTTAACGACAATAGATTTCACAGCTGATTCCTGTATCCAGATGAGCTATTACGACGCATTAGGCGCCTGTTGCAACCCAAAGCATAAGCGCTTGGGGAGTAAAATAACTCCTAGCTTAGTCGCACGTTTCTGAGTCCTGCATTGATAGGCTACGATCACAGTTGGAAATCGACGTGCATCGGGTTAGTGTTTCAGCCCCCGCCAACTTGAAGCCGAAGAACAAGGCCAGACCACAATGTGCCATCTAAGCCATATTATACTTTGATTGACTGGTTTTTAGGAGTTAATGTTGACGCTACATACTCTAGACTGATATAGTATCTCCCTGCCACGAATTCTCAAGGCCAAATTACGATTATTCCAAGACACTTTCACCCTCACACAACAACTTCAAAGCGATCTAGAGAATCTCACCAAAGCCATGTCGAGCATAAACAAAATTTCTATCAATGACTTGACTCCCGAACACCTTGAAACATTTACCCAGACACTACACAATGTTGTATCGAGCGAGCCTACACAGCAAGCTCTTGCACAAGTCGTTGATGGGATACCTACCCGCACTGACTCCAACGGTTGGGAATTTGTGAAGGCTGGTCTAAAAAGAAAGGATGACCCTTCTGATGAATCAATCAAGATTGTCAAAGCTATCCAGGACAGTTTCAAACTTGACAGTCTTGAAGTTTCTGCCGATGTTGGTCGCTTTACCCGTCTTATCCTCCAGAACTAAGCCGTGTATAGGTTGTACAAGCATATCAAGATACCTCAATAGGATCAAGAGACTTCAAACTCCGACTGCTAGAGATGGTAGCCATCTCGTTCCATAACATGGTTGCCCATCTCTTCCAATCTTTCGAATCAGACCCCGACGCCTGGCCAAGTCGTAACCGTGTACCGCATCCCCGCGAATCAACCTGGTTTTATCATTCAGATTACCTCGATCACGATCAGTATCCGTTAAAGGTCTCTGACGTGGTTGGATACTGGGCCGAAAAACAGGTCTTTGGAGGGACCGTGTTGTTCGATCGAGGCGAGATAGACGACGAAGTAGGCCCTTTCTCCTTTCCTGCGGTTTCCATTGCGGCTAAATTTACTAAAGTCACCTAGTGCCGTGATGCATTCATCCATCCCGACGACGGATACCGGATTTTCAAACTCTCAGATGATCAATTAGATCAATTCGCCTCCTTTGGAGCGAAGATAGGGCGTATTTATCAGAACAGTGATAGTGGCTGTCCCATCCCTTTTCAAGCTGAGAAATATACCACGCGTATCGAGCCGGAGGAAGCCATGGCCATGCATATATACCGCCATCTTTACGAGCGTAAGCCAAAGATCGAGGATAATGGGCGAACGCAGCATAAGCGTCGGCGGCTTGAGGATTATCCAGAGTTTGGGGATTTATTACAACAATTGGATAGAAGTGAACAGAGGTAATGTAGAAAGGGAGATATTATGTGTATACTTCGTGATTAGAACTTGCTATGGATATCTTATAGTGCGATACAGTAGCGAGATGGTACTTATAAATACAGAGGCATATAAGTTAAATGTTCTATATGACCTCATCTCTTCCACTGTGCATCCGACATCAGAGCTATTGGTGTGGCGCTTTGCGCGGAAGGGCTGAAGGTCATCAAGCTTATATTCCGAAATTCAGATACATCGGAATGGGTTGGTCATAGCAATGGCCCAGGCATCGCTTATGGTACACTTAACATTCCTGGTGGGATAAATTGGTGTTACCTGCTAGTAGGTCTAGATCACTTCAAGATCGTATCAATCAGCCTAGGCAAATTAACAGACCAGCCTGGAGCTTCCGTCGAGCTTCCTTCTGAGGGAATAACTGTTTCATCTTGTTTACTGTCGCATTTGTGGACACCGCATCCTCCACCACACGATAATTTGAAAATTAGCCCTCTCCTACCCTCCCAGCCTTCCAGGCCTTTTGAACCACTAATTAATATCGACTTTGGTGGCACAAGAGCGTTGCTTCTCGCCTCTTTGACCAGGCTTACCTTCTACATGGCTTCTGGTCCTTATCCACTCATGGGGATAGAAGTATTCCATTCTGATGGAAAGTCTGTACTTTTTGGCTCCAACAGTGGCTGCAGTATCTCCTTTTTTGTCGCTGGCTCCCAGGGAGAGCGTATCAATCGAATCTATATTTTAGAAGCCAATCGCGGATGCCACCCTGCCAGTGGCCTAGATGGCATAGAGGTTCCTTCTACCCATTCCAGACTCCTTGCTGTTAGGTGTTAACTCTGATTCAGGTTTCAACAAACTATGGAAGAACTGCCACTTTTGCCCCTCTTCACTACCGACTGCACGCTACTGTCAACCCAGTACCCATTCTGCCGTCAGGAAACACCATTACGGGATTTATTGGTCTTGAGTCACTATGCCGCGGTGGCATACCCAGATCTGAACGGCATTTGAGCCGAACGCGGTTTATCCGAGTCGGTATCCAGTCCCAACAATGTGATGAACAACAGATGGCTCCTGCTATTCTGGATCGCGAATGCCATCAAATACCCGATGATCAGGTTCGCTATGACCAAAAGTTCTCTCGTTTTATAGATGGCCGCGAATGCGGGCAACTATCAGACCTATGCGTCACTAAAGAATGTCCGGAGAATTCAGGCATCTACGGGCCTCTGCGGCCGATCCAGATGCCCTAGTCGCATATCCGGTCTAAAGATCGACTACTATAGCCATCCAACTCCAAATGTAGTAGGACAATGGATGAATGAGCTTGATGAAGGCTTCGAACTCTCCTCAGCTGAAGAAGTCCGATCATTGACTATCTGGCTCACTCCAGTAGGTTTCTCTACTGAATGCCCGGGGCTGGAATTGGGCCAGGTCACGGTCAGACATATTGAGACGAGTTGTTCTCGCAGTGTGACATTCCGCTCTCCGGACTTTTGACTCCCTTCCGCCCACAAAGATGCACCATCAGTACCAAAGCAACAACTCTGATAAAAAACTAACTGCTATATCATGGATACTGAATGTATCCTCTGATCGCGTCCGAGCATCCATTTCTACGAACAGAAGTCAAAAAGCTCACATACTGGTCCCCAAACCAGAACCACCCTTTGACTGACTTGGTACGAAAACTGTACTTCGAAAAGGAGAATAACGACGGCTACATAGAGACTATAACGACAGCCGAGGCTTACATTCGAGGCCGGGCTATTATCGGACTTGCTTTCGTCTATCCATCCGGTACAAGTGCCAAAATAGGTGATTTCAATACGGACATGCGTCAAACAATTCAATTTGCGGAAAATACTCGGTTGGTTGGTTTCTCGGTCGGGGTTGCAGAGCACGACCTTATCGAAATTGAGTTTGAGTTTGAACAGGATAACCATCCTAGGTATAAGAAGCTTAGTCTTTCTACCGTGTTACCAGATGATGCAGGCAATGCAGTGGGATGTGACTGGCGAGATACATGGTGTAAAGATGGGATATCTGTAGAAAGCCATGAGCGACTCTTAGCACGTGACAGGGTATTTTCACCCCCCCAAGCCAGTCAAAGCTAGTTGGTATTTACGTGGGCTGCCAGGAGCTCTCCCGTGTTGGAGCAATATACGAGTCCAGTATTCCTCAATAGATACAAAGAGGGCTCACTGGGCATTGCTTGAATTCCATTTTGTATATGTCACCTACAAGACCATAATCAAAAGTGAACATACATGAACAGATATTTGCTATATGGAAATAGTGCCAAACGCGATTTACAATTCTAGATCTACCATATTCCACCTCACCCATCAGAGCAGCTCCACGAGAAACGAACACTGGCTCTCCTACTGAGTTCGGAAGTGTATTACGTAAATTAGATTCACATCTCCCAACTCCACAAGGGTTGAACAGATTCCCTATAGCTTAGAGAGCCGTTGCAATTGCCGAAGCCCATCCTTAGCCACAGCAGGTAAGCAGTTCACAGGAAGAGCCGCAGGTAATTTGACAGGAATCGGATTTCCCTTCAGCCCTCTTGGTGGTGTCCTCCACCGTCTGGATAAGTTCCGGTTGCACAATCGCCGAATGGATACCATAGCTGTGGAAGCACTCGTTCATGGTCTTGGCAAGTTTCACGAACTCTGAGATGCGAATATCGGGCAGGCCGACGTGTACGGAAGCCAGAGCCTTTTCCTGGTTCAGGCGCCAGGCGTGCAGCTCGTGGACGGATGAAACCTCGGGTAACTGACAAGTTATGGCAAGGTCAGAAGGTCTAAGCATGGAACACAGGGTGGTAGGGGATGTTTCAGGGTGGAAACGTACCAGTTCAAGGTCATGTTTGACATCGTTCAGATCGATTCCCTTTGGAACACTGTCCAGCAGAATAAGTCCGGAATTCCTCACTGAATGAAAGGTTAGCCCGCGCAAGCGTACACGTGACCTAAAATGGGTAGCACAAACCGAGGGGGACAGATGTTCCCATGATCATGAAGGCGATCGCCATACTAATGGCCGGGTCTGCATAGTACCGGGAGGCAGAACTGGTGAGCCAGATAATCAAGGCAGAAATAATGACCCCGATGTTATTGAAGGCATCGCCAAGGACATGGATGAAAACACCGAGCAACCCGAGATCGTATCCCTTCTTTTGGGCTTGGAGGTTATTATGTCTATGGCCGGTATGGAAGGCGTAAGCCTGTGATGGTTCTTCAGCACTCTTCTCATCTTTCACGATTGGCAAGACCCGTTACCTCGTTTATCCCGCTCTCGGCGCTTGCATCTAGACTTCCGCCGGGGATTGTATCATGGGAATGGCTGTGTTCTGAGTGAACGGAACACCGTCAGTTAGTCTCTGTGCAGATGGGGAAGTTGAGGTGAACGAACCGTGAAGGAAAGACGCGCTCAGTATATTCAGCGCAAGCCCAACACAGCCGATAATAAGGACCAGCTTTGGACGCTCAACCTCTGAGCTATCTGTTAGCTTGCTCTGGGATTTACAAATAGTTATTGCATACCTTGTGGGCTGATAAAGCGCTCGATGGACTGTAGGAAGATACTGACACCGAGGGCGAGAAGAAAAACACCGTTGAAAAACGCCCCCAGGAGGCGAGCTCGCTGCCAGCCAAAGGATAGGTCTTTTGGTGACTCCTTCTTCGATGATATCTATCTTGTATTAGGGGATCTGCATTGTGGAAACTGCTAGACGTCATACCTTCACAGCAGCAAATGCCACGATGAACCCGATGATATCATTGAGCTGCAGATATTAGCACAGACATCACTCCCCGACAGGAAGGCCCTTCCGACGAACATAATGGAATGCGTCAGCCACCAGGGCGAGAGATTTCGTGTAAAATCCAACTAGTTACGGCAAGTGAGGAAGGCATTCAAGATTCAGGAGGGAAAAGATACCTGAAATTTCAGCAATGAAGAAACAAAGTGAGATACCGATCACAAGCGAGAGACGCTGTAGCTGCGTCAAGTGAAAGACCATAATGAGAGATATACCCGCAGCTTAGAACAATTGAGACTGAAGTGGAAGACTCAATAGATGGGAAAGAGTGAAGGGGAAACGGGCTCGATCAAGCATTTTAAAGCCTCACGGGAAAATTCTCCCGTGTTCGACTGCCCAATATTAATCGGACTGGGACCGGGATTGTCCTCAGCCCACTTTCAAAGAGCGATTCTAGTGGATTCTCCGCGAAGATCCACGGGTGTTATTGACTTGTCAGGTTTTGCCAAGCAACTTTGAGCGAATATGTGTCAGAGCAGAAGCGTCACTGAACTCAAATTGCCACGGACACTTGGGTATAACTGATGTTCAATTGTATGAATCAATGCTTGCTGATGAGCTCTCTACTTCCTATATACATTTGAGAGATATTGGATGTCTCCGGACAGCAAGCTTAGAAAGGATTCTGGAGGACGTGATCAATAGTAGTGCGTGATATTTGCCTGTGCTAGGCTTCGGGTGTCAATGTAACTCTTGTTCAATCGACCCGAATCTCTCCACAGGAGCAGAATGCAAAGTACACCTGTGACCACTTGTACGCGGTCGACGAAATGTTTGAAAGGCTTCGTTTAATTTGCCGGATCAGTGTGTCATAAAAAGTTATGCTATGTTTTGCCTAGTCAGCGGTGCAGCTGGGAGGGAATTAGGTAATCTGCGCTATCCTCTTTGGGCCCGACGCGACGACCGATGGGTGAGAGACCGATAGAATGGCTATTCTGTAGTACAGGGAACGGGATCAGACCAAGTACAGTAGGATTGAATCAGATATAGATCCAGATAGGGCTGAGAAGGCGATCTGGGACGTTCAGATAAAGTTAAGATCCAGGAACCCCCCACCGATTTAATCTGGAGGTCCGCCAATTGGGCAGAGTCTGTCCCCCAAGGTCCTCACCCTCAAGGTCCTCACGCCAAGACACCGTCCCATATTTCAGTGGTTTGGATCCGAAGGACAAAACATAGGTATAAAAACACACTGGACAAGGAGCTTCAAATAATGCTATTGCTGGGATTAGACACACTCGTGCGTTCTGTAGCGTTTTCTTAAAATAAATACTTGTTCTCTTCGTAAGAGCTGGTTGATCCCCGTGACTGATATTTAGGGCTGGCTCCTCTGGTTCAGCGACTGGCAACAGTTGAGCCAACAGTTCTGTTATTATCCCTCTTCTTGGTAGGGGATGTTTATCCTATTCTCTAAGCTCTGGCAATAATACCACAATTGGTCAGGATACGAGCTATGATGGATTAAAAACAAGTGTGGTTGGTGCCTATTTCCCATATTCTGCAGACAAACAGGCCCATGGCAAGTCCTAACCACATAAATCTGTCTCAAATGGCCTGACTAACACACTCATGCTGGTCTGCATTTGGGATGTCAAATTTATCACAGAGCTTTTGACTACTTCCTTGCTGCATGATAAGGCGACCGCGGCTCCCATAGTGTTGGAGTAGGCGATCGCAACAATATATTCAGGGTTAAAATAGCTGGTTCTTTCTCGCTGTTTCCAACCAGTCGTCTTTTCAACTGATAGAAAATATACCACTCCTTTGGCACATTCAAAAGTTTCAGCCATGATATCTCCGAAAAAGTTCGAGTTTCCACCATTTGTTGTCGATTGATCATTGATCAGCCGACCGGAGTAGAACTCGGTGTTCACAAACTCTGAGATATCAGGATGCATACGGTACTGAGTGCGAAGCATGATGTCTGGTAGTCCAGACCGGATAAATCTTTCAAAAAGTGATTACTTCTCTGATGCAAGGAATTTGTTGCGGCCTCTGGACGTGACTACTGGGGGCAATTGCGCATCGTCTCCACTAAGCGCGATTTTGTTTAGTGTACAATAATAACAAATCATGGGAATTGGACACACAGATTCATTGTTCTGTGATGCCTCTTCTATGATTAAGATCTCAGGCAGAAATCCCCACAATGAGATTCGGTCAGCGGCAGATGCTGTACAAAGCACGACTGACGCCTCTTGGAGATAAAACTTTTGAAGCTGGGTCCATGAGCGTTTTAATGCACGGACATTGGACTGTTCCAGGTACACCTACCAGAAGATCCAGGGAGAATGCAGGGAGATTGAAGGCAGGGTAGAAGGGAGTTGAAAAGAAACAGGTGGATGTGGAGGGTTCTGGAACATATCTGTTATGTGAAGTGAATATAGCCGATTGAAAGCTGGACAGTCACTGTTTGCCTGAACTGAAACATAATGACTGTCTTCCAAATTCCATACAGCTCCTGAATGGGATGGTTAGTATGGTCCTTCCGTTTGTATTGAGAATTCATAAAACACCCCCCTTTCGCTTTTCTCCTCTTTTCTCCCCCTCCATTGCCTCTTCTTCTTCGTCACTCTTACACATCTCTTCTTCTTCTTCCTTCATTATCTCTCTGATCTTAACTCTCTGCTGTAGTCAGTCAGGGTGCCATCCAAAATGTCAACAACAGTTACCAAGGGCTCGGAGAGGGCTGAGCGGGAAGTCACGGCAGTAAGTTGCCTAACCAGTCCTTATAAATGAGCTTCATCTCATTCTGACTAACCAGCCGTTCACTGGGGTGATTTACAAAAAAGCCTCATTGGGGAAACCACAACTGCTTTGGAAGCGGAACTGTTCACCCACGTTCCTGTCACCATGAATGAGTCAACAAAGACCATTGTGAACCCATCCGGGCACGATCTTCTCCAACAAATTAGAGACGACTTGGAGGTACATCAGAAAGCCATCGATGGCTTGCAGGAGCAAAACGATGCCCAACAGAGAGCCATTGATGACTTGATGGAAAGAGTTGCCCCATACCGTGAAATCCGAAAATCTGTTTTATGCGGGGGGCTGTCTTCAAACAAACAACGAAATGAGGCCGCCCATGGTGGGAACATCCGAGAAGACTACTTCTTTATTAAGGGAGAGAGGAACACTTCCCTTGCAGAGAAATGCCGAGAGAGTTTCGAGCAAATATATGGGTTTCAACTCTCGGAGCTCCAAGACCGTATACCAACAGCACCGGCTAGAGTTATTGAAGCGTTCAACATGCATGGCAACTGCATCTTGCTTTACAGATGGACTAAATCCCAAAAGCAGGGTGTAAAGAAGCAAGTTTTGTCCAAGCTTCGCCAGCTTCTCCTCCCCTGGGTCCAGACCTTGACGCCTGTTGATTACCTCGAGGATGGTTCACCTAGTCTTCCGTTTTATGATAACATCGTCTCTCTTTATGAATCAGTTTAGCCGTGGTATCGTTTGATGAATAGATTTGAAATAAGATCAAACTATCTTTTCTATAATGTACTATTGCGAACTAGACATCCTAAGTGTTGCTCAATCTTGGCCCCCCGGACAACACGGCTGAGCGTCCCTTGACCCCTTTTCGTCATTCCATGCTTGTCCTGGTACAATGGGATGTATTCAATAATTGGAACACCAGTTAACGGTTTAGCCCGCGCCCATTCTAGCAGCTACCATCTTTACTATAAATAGTAGCTGGGGCTGGTATACTAAATACTAGAATAGCTGAATTTAGGAGGTTTCTGCCACTGTATGTACGCTGTGGGGGCGACAGATGCCAAGTCGGTGTCAGATTGTCAGATTTTAGGTTATTCCCGCCGCCCCCACAAGCATAAGCTTATGCCCCGAGAACTGTTTCTTCAAGAAGGTATTACAAGACAGATCTCAACTAGTTGCATTATACAGGTGATAGAATCTAATTCATGTCTCTGGACGTCATGTGAGACACGGTTCGACGTGCGACGGGTCTTCCAAGCCCTTACTGGTCAGGCTATGGTGGTTCATCAAGGTCACTTACGATCAAAGACTGGACCAACACATAGCCCCGGGAATGGCATAAACGTGAGAGCCTCCAGCATATATGATTTAGTCTGTCAGAAAATATGCACAGTCATGAACGATATGCGGGGTGAGCTGAGGTGACCGTCGACTGCAGAATGGGGCGATGCGCCGGCCGTTTGGCCCCATTCGCCCCCACTGACCTGTCAGCAATTGACCTGCGATTACAACGGACATCACTGTGAGTCTCATATGAGTTTGAACCTGCACAGCTCAGTCTTCTGCGGTAGAACCAAATCTATAAAGAGGCCCAGTCTGCCGCTTCGAAACCAAAACATCAACCAAGCTCACAGATCACTCCAACAGCCAGACTTCGAACAATCAGATTCCGACTTCAGTCACTCAACCAAAACCACCCCCCTTCCATCCATACCTACTCTTTAACACTCGCCAAAATGGTCAGCACCAAGCTCTACGACACTGTCATGGGAGGCAGCGACCCCGCAGTAAGGACCATATCCATCAACCTCCCTCGTTTATTGTGCTGATTACTCCAAGGACGTTACCTACTCCCTGGAAACCATTAAGGGTCTGCTGGGAGAGTTCAAGGCAATGGTATGTCAATTACATCTCGATACACAATAATAAACCATTAACTTACACATTGCATCTAGGACAACGATAACGATGGTAAGCGATCTTATACATTCAACGACTCTGGTTGAATCGGACCTTAACCGTACAATACAGGATTGGTCGACTTGGACGTGCTTAAGCAGGCATACGGTGAACAAGGTGCCGCCGCATTCGAGGAGTTCTTCGACTCTACTCTTGACAAGCAGGTTTCCTTCACTGGTTAGTACCCCTGGAACTCAATACCCCCTTGTTATGCTTCTCTAACCAGCACAATAGAGTTCACCTCTGCCTTCATCTTCGTGCAGCGTGCCTCTGGGTACCCCAACAAGGCTTGATAGGGGTATACAGCGCCATGGATGACGGTTCAGGATCGGCGTACCTGATACACATCAGTGGCTTTCCGACTGTTGCTTCCTTTACATCTCGAATTTTGTTAGTTCTGGTCTTCTAGCGAGTGGTTTCTATTAAGAAACAAATGTGGGCAAAGATAGAATTATTTCATAGCATCAAAATGGCACAGATAGTTTTGCTTTTTGTCTATTTAGTGTTCGATCTTTGAGACTGTATTCCTCTATGCTACCCAGCAGCGATATGAGTGTGTAGAATGCTGTAAATTGAGAAAGAGTATTAAAATTATTCGGACAGGCGCCTTTCTTTTTCTCCTGCGCCTGCTGTATCGTTCTATCATTACACCCGGCACAGAATTTGTGTTGTGTAGATCAATCGCGGATGGTCACAGCGTACAGTGCATGGGAAGCAAAACCGTACAATTCTACGAAAGAGAAGAAATGACAACAGCATTCGTGCGACCGTGCTCACCAAAAACTACTTGTACGTGTCTCGCTACTCCTAACGGTCCTTTGGGGCCTTCTTCAGGGACCGAAACAATATATATCTGAAAAAGTAGAAGATATATTTCAAACTCAACTTTATGTAGCTACATATGTAAGATAAGTATGACGTCAAAAGGATGAATATAAAACCCGCCATAAAAAGCTCGGTCTCCACCAAAACCAACACTCAGAACAATAAAATAATGACCCACACAGTAGGTCCTGACACCACCAACCTCCTAGTAATAATCATATTCACAAAATCAAGCACACAGAATACTCCGTCCAAAACCCCCTAAACCGGGAACCACCCGTCAAAACCCTCGTCGCGAGGTATTCTCCGCATATGCCATCAGATACAACATGCTACTAACAATATCTCAGCTTCATCACCCCAGAAGGCATTTCCTATGACCGCAACCATGGCCCCATCCCGCATCTCACCGCAGATACCCACACCGTCCGGATAGACGGCACCGTCCCCAGCCCACTCTGCCTATCCATCCATCAACTCCAAACCGAGTTCCCCCAGCACGAAGTCATCTGCGCTCTAGAATGCGCGGGGAACCGGCGGCATGCCATGCGCACACTGCTGAAGGAAGTCCAGGGGATCGACTGGGGCGATGCAGCTGTCATGAACTGTCAATGGAAGGGTCCGAGATTGAGGGATGTTCTACTCCGGGCTGGGGTGACGCCGGACCTGAATCGGGGGTTATATGTTGCGTTTTCATGCTACCAGGTACAATGTCAGGATGACGATTGGTTCGGGAGTAGTGTAGAGTTGAAGAGATGTCTGGACGAGGATATGGATGTTATTCTTGCTTTGGAGGTGAGCTACGTACTGTATTTCTTGTGGGAGGGGTTCTTATATAGGGCTGATGAGGGGTGATGGATAGATGAACGGTTCGCCGCTCTCGCCCAACCACGGCTACCCGGTCCGAGTGGTCCTCCCCGGGGTTGCGGGTGCCAGGTGGGTCAAGTGGCTCGATCGGATCACCGTGCAAGACCATGAATCGTCCAATTTCTACCAGCAGCATGATTACAAGATCCTGCCGCCGGATGCGGTCGATAGTGCTTCCGCGGAGCCCTATTGGGGTCGCATGCCTGCTATGTGTGATATGCCGGTTAACTCGGTGGTGGGGGTGCCAGAACATGGGGAAACGGTTCATCTTTCGGACTCGGGTACTGTTGAGGTGAAGGGTTATGCGGTGCCGCATGGCGCCGATGGCCCGGTTACGGGTGTGCAGGTTTCTGCTGATGGAGGGGAGACATGGGTGGATGCTGAGATTGAGGGTTCGTCCACTGAGAGGAAATGGTGTTGGGTTTTGTGGAGGGCGAGGGTCAGTGTTGAAAGAGGGACAAGAAAGGAGATTCTAAGTCGCGCGTTGATAGGGGTGGGAATGTGCAGCAGGCGCATTCGCAGTGGAATCTGAGGGGTGTGGGGTATAATGGGTATGGAAGGGCAAGTGATCTTACCGTTGTTTAGCAAATGAGTTATCGGGCATAGGTGTTGGCAATGGCGTTCAATGATCATTCAAGCATATCTAAAATTTTCTCATGATTGTAACTGGGCATGCTTCACAGATATCATAATATTGACACTGGTCTATACAACATTATACATACATAACCAATCAGGGAAGCACGATGTACTTCTCCAAGTGCTTAGGAATAGCAGTTCTCAGGCCCTTGCTCTGTAGCCAGGTGTTTGAGAACAGACGGTCGGCGTAGCGGTAGGCGCCATCACACAGAATGGTGACGATAGTCTTACCCTTACCGAGTTTCTCGGCAACTTCCTTGGCAGCAACAACGTTGAGCGCAGAGCTAGCTCCAAGATAGAGGCCTTCCTCATCGAGGCAGCGGTAGACCATCTCGATCGATTTCTCATCACTGATGTTCAGCGACCCATCCAAAAGATCAATGTCGGGCTGAAGGTTGTCCGTGACGCGGCCCTGGCCAATACCCTCCGTGATGCTGCTTCCCGAGCGCTCGATCAAGTTGCCGCCGCTCTGGATGTAGCTGTGCAGGACGCTACCTGGAGGGTCGGCAAGGAAGCACTTTACCCGGCCGTCGGAAGCGGTCTTCAGATAACGGGTAATTCCGGCCAATGTTCCTCCCGTTCCAGTAGCACAGGTGAAAGCATCGACCTGTCCATCAGTCTGGGCCCAGATTTCCGGTCCGGTCATCTCGATGTGAGCCTGGCGATTGGCAGTGTTGTCGAACTGGTTCGTCCATACTGCGTTATCAAGGGATTCGGCATGTCTCCTAGCCTGGTGGTTGTAGTTCTGTGGGTTGTCGAAGGCGACGGCCGGTACAGGATAGACCTCAGCACCCAACAGCCGCAGTAGGTCGATCTTACCCTGGGACTGCGTGTTGGGCATGTAGATGACAAGCTTGTAACCCTTTGACCGACACACGTGCGCCAACCCAATTCCAGTGTTACCAGCTGTTCCCTCAACCACCGTACCGCCAGGCTTCAAAAGCCCCTTCTCCTCGGCATCCTTGACGACGAACAATGCTGCACGGTCCTTGACACTGCCTCCGGGGTTCTGGAACTCGGCTTTACCGAGGATGTTGCAGCCGGTCTCTTCGGAAAGACGCTTCAATCGGATAAGTGGTGTGTTTCCAATTGCTTAATGACAACCTGTCAGAAGCCGTTGTTCGCGTAGCTAATTCTTATTTTCCTCTTCTTAGCGTACCTTCTGTAAGACCGTTAACGTAGCCCTGAGCTTGCGACACTCGGACGCTATAGGCGGTCGATCCTTCTGCTGCGCGGAGCGCAGTGGTGCCAAAGCGCCGAATACTTTGTCGAAACATTATTTCAAAAGGCTTCGAAGGCTAGCACAGCTACTCCCGAACACCGTCTGCTATGCAAGAGACAATTAATAGAGGAAGACCATTCCATTCCCCGGATTCCCAAATGCCGATGGTCGGCGTTAGTCAGCGATTGTACATCACGTGAGCGATGGCGTGATAGCTTGCACGAAGTGAGGACCCTCATTTCTACATTGGTCATAACGTTGACTCGATAGTGCTTGGTATTAATCCGTTGATAGAGTGATATTGCAGTAACCCGTGTATAATTTAGGGAATCGATAGTGACAATCAATATAGATTTCTGTATATAGAACCCGCTATACTGCCTTTCTGGTCAGAAATGACATAATGCACTTCCAACCCTAACCCTTATCTTAGCCTTTCCCGTTTTGGGCTGTTTGTTTATTCCGCACCCCGTGACTGCGGGCTATCGTCCGCAATGTTTTGGCGATAACTCAACTCCGGCGGCAATATCATCCCACCTTGGTCCAGCGACTACAGGCGCGCCATTCAACGAGTTCCGGTGCCCGAATCTGATTTATGACACGGTTTTGAGATGTTCCCTGTCTGACTCTATGCGACAACTCCTTACTTGACCGACACGTTTCGACTCAAACCTTTACCCCTCCACCCCCAGACACTATGCCTGGTCGATCTTCCGCCCGTTCGACCTCTGCGACGACATCACGTAGACCGTCCGCCCAACCATCAGTATCAGGTGGGCGCGCAGGTTCTGTAACTCCTTCTGTCGCCATCCCGGAGGAACCCCCATTGCCCGAGGCTTTTCCCAATTTGCGCCGAGATGTCTGTTTACTCTTCGCTGATGCGCAACGCTCGACAACCGGACACCGAAAACTCGTCGTGCGGCTTAGAAAGCTCCAGGAGGCTTGCTGCGGCATATCACAGAAGAGCTCTAAGAAAAACGGTAAAGAGGTTCAAGAGGAGACCTTGATTCCAGGTGAAGAGACACTCCCCGAAACGGAATTTAATGTGGAGATTGGTCGCTGCATGCTACGGATTCTGCCCATCAAAAAGTCGGAACCCGTTGGTGACCGTGTCTTGCGCTTTATTGGCACTTTCTTGACCCATGCATCCGAAAAGGATGCCGAGCTTTTCACGAACGATGATGATGAAGTTAGCGCCGAAACGCCCACGTCCCGTTTGGCCACCAGCCTGGTTGCCCGTATTATGCCGCTACTAGCTGCTAAAGATCGGACTGTCCGTTTCCGTGCGACGCAAATAACTGCGCATATTGTGAACTCTCTCGAGACGATTGACGACGACTTGTACCATACTATCCGACAGGGCCTTCTGAAGCGGATCAGAGATAAAGAATCATCTGTGAGAGTACAAGCTGTGATGGGTCTTGGCCGCCTGGCAGGCAACGAGGATGAAGATGATGAGGATAGTGCAGTCTTGGTCGAGAAGCTTGTTGACATCATGCAGAATGACACAAGCGCAGAGGTGCGGAAAACTTTACTTCTCAACCTACCCCTTCTCCGCAAAACGCTTCCATACCTTCTTGAACGAGCTCGCGATCTCGACGCTGCCACGCGGCGAGCATTATATGCACGTCTACTCCCTACTCTAGGAGATTTCCGACATTTATCACTGTCAATGAGGGAGAAGTTGCTCCGCTGGGGTCTAAGAGATCGAGACGAAAGTGTTAGGAAAGCTACTGGGAAGCTCTTTTACGACCGGTGGATTGAGGATGTTGCTAGTACGGATAACGACGAGGAAGGCCCAGCTAATCAACGCTCTCCACCGAACATACCAGCCTTTTGGAGCTGCTCGAGAGAATCGATGTACTGAACTCTGGCATTGAGACCGGTATAGCTCATGAAGCCATGCGTAGCTTCTGGGAAGGTCGCCCTGATTACCGGGAAGCGGTCGTCTTCGATGAGGAATTCTGGGAGTCCTTGACAGCTGAATCAGCTTTCCTGATTCGCTCGTTCAACGACTTCTGTCGTGTGGAGCACGACGGAAAGTTCGACAACTTAGCTGACGAGAAAATGCCCGAAGTCACTGCCCTTGCCTACTTCTTAAACAAATATATGACCGACCTATTGCAGCGGAAGAAGATGGCCAAGGAAGCCGGTACAGCCACCGATGATGACTCTATCGAGCATGAGTTTGTTGTTGAACAGTTGTTACACATTGCCATGACCCTGGACTACAGTGACGAAGTCGGTCGACGCAAGATGTTCTCATTACTCCGCGAATCTTTGGCGGTTCCAGAGCTGCCTGAAGAATGTACTAAGCTCGCTATTGAGACTCTGCGATTTGTCTGTGGGCCAAACGCTGCCGCCGAAAATGAGTTCTGCAGTGTTGTCCTGGAGGCCATCGCTGAAGTTCATGATACCATTGCCACTGAAGATAGCTTCGTGTCAGCCAGATCGGAAATTAGTGAATCCTCCAGTCGTCACCGATCTGAAACTCCTGAAGTGAAGCCCTTCAACAAAGAAGAAGCCAAAGCAAAGGTTCTCAAAGAAATCATGGTGAACATGAAATGTCTTCACATTGCACTTTGTATGTTGCAAAATGTGGAGGGCAATCTCCAAGCAAACATGAACCTGGTTACGATGCTTAATAACCTGGTCGTTCCTGCGGTCCGCAGTCATGAAGCGCCAATTAGAGAAAGAGGTCTTGAGTGCCTCGGGCTTTGCTGTTTGCTTGACAAGGTTGGTCTCTATCACTCTATACCTCTGACGTATGCTAACAGTCGTCCCCACACCAGACCTTGGCTGAAGAAAACATGACACTATTTATCCATTGCTATAGCAAGGGCCACGAGGCTTTGCAGACGACGGCCTTGCACATCCTATGCGACATGCTGACAACTCATCCATCCTTACTCGCGCCTGTTACCCAGCCCGACGGAGAGACTGTGACACCGCCAGTATTCCAAAAGCCATTGCTGAAAGTCTTTGCTAGGGCACTCAAGTCTAGCTCTCCGAATAGTGTCCAAGCAACCGCCGCCACCGCTCTTTCCAAGTTGTTGCTCACGAATACCTTTACTCCCTCTGGGGCTAATGTCCCTCCAGCTATCCAAGAGTACAACCAAACATCCGTCGAAACCCTCTTGCAGTCACTTGTGGTTACTTTCTTCCACCCCCGTACTCGTGAAAATCCCGCACTCCGGCAGACTCTAGCCTATTTCCTCCCTGTATACTGTCACTCGAAGCTGTCAAATACCCAGCATATGCGCAGGGTTTCCGTACCGGTTGTCCGGGCAGTCCTCAATGCGGCAGAGGAGTATTTCTCACTTGAAGCGGAAGAGGACAGTGATGGCGATATTGATGAGAGTGTTGGACAGCGAGAATTGAAGGCGCTGATGAGTGGTGTTTTGGGTATGCTCGCGGAGTGGACCGACGAACGGCGAGTTGTTGGGCTGGGCGGAGAGAAGATTCTCGCAGGCGGCGCTGCTAGTTCCAACGTATGTGGCTGGGTTCATCTCGCGCTGGTGAAGGACATTCTGGAGCGTGTGCTGGGGATCAGCGAAGGTCCCAACCGCTGCTCTAAAGAAGAGAAAAAGCTTCTTTTCTCTCTGCTTAGCAAGCTCTACGTCGCTCCTCCCGCTGTGCCCTCAAGGGCTGGTTCTCGCAATCCGGAGGGCGAAGACCCAATCGGGCCGAGTGCTCGGAGTACCCAAAGCGAAGTTAGCCCTGAGGATGCTGCGCTTGCACAAGAGGTGAAAGAGCTTTTGGACGAGACGATCGAGGAAGGTCTGGCTTCTGAAGCGGCGAGCAGGAATGCCCTTGTCAAGGTCAAAAACTCGGTTCTTAAGCTCCTGGCAGTCGCCCAAGGCCGCCCAAGTAGCTCCCGCGCTCGTGAGGGGACCGAGGAGGGAGACAGTGACATACTCAGTCTTCGTTCCGGCCGGTCCGGTAGCGTCCGCCCTTCCATCGAGCCTGGTGCTTATCGTCGCGGGGTGTCCATCGAGCCCAGCATTATGGAGGAAGACGAGAACGATGATAGCAGGACAACGATCAAGTCTGAAGCACAGGATTATTAGAAGTTGCCTCATGCGTTCCTTTTTTGGGTTGGCGTTGGCTGATGGGTCATGTTGGGATATGGTCTCGGGACGACATGCGGACTTGGTACAATGTATCTAATTCATGTTTATACATTTCAAGGCTTATTTGTAAATGGTTCTATTCTTTTCATCCAAGATACATGAACCGCCAGGTATTGTTAGTTAATGATCGTCGATGTTCAAATACTCCCTTTAATATTTCATGACACATGTACTAGTACAGAAGTGAACTGTTCTTCTGCAAGTCCAGTCCGATTGCCCGATACGGGTGCTGCTGCTTTTGTGAGAGCAGCACGTGAACTATCCAGGAGATATCTATGAGCGCTTTGGGGCACGCACTAATTTTATATAGTATATTAAACTGCTGTTGGACCGCTAGCGCCTCGCTGGCGGTGGAGTAATGGTTATCTAAGGCGATCAGAAGCGGTCGTTGCCTGAGGCAACCGCCGTTACACTAGTACATCGAATCATAGATACCTAACTAGATAGATACTGAGACTATAGTTGTATAATCTACGGGGTCTAGGGATTGATAACTAGCAGCTACAGAAGATTTAAGATTTCTCTGGCTCTCTTATCATTATTGAAGTAAGATTGATTCTTATTGACTCAAGGAGTTATCTTTTACAGGGGTGGGATGCTTCATATAACGTAATCGGTACGCACCCTGCGCAGCTCTGTAATCCATACAAATCGTCCCTTTTTACTACTCAAATACCTCAGCAACCACAGATTGTAAGAATATAATATTAAATATACAATATAGTATAGACTATATAAGATTGATCATATTTTCTTTTGAATTTTTCCTTTTTAACTTTGCGGATTTAGACAGCCGCAGAACTGCAGAACTCAATGTTGTCCTCATGACGTCTACACCCACGCAATAGAATGTAAACGATCTGGGCCGATATGTGGGTTATATAACCTGGTGAAGGCAACCCCTCAGTAAGTTGAGGGTTTCAACCAAATCCAGAAACCCAACAAGGACTGCACAATGGCACTTGCAAAGGACATGGACAGTTTCATCTCTGTCAATCAGGAGTCTTATGATCCCGATGGGAAAGACTACTACCTTGGATACCGGGAGGCCGATTTAAAGAGGCCGTTTGCCAAGTACTACAATCCAGTCACCCCGGCAATCAGCGACGAAGTCCAAAAGGGACTGTCCGCCAGCCCCTGGGCAAGTAGCATTGGTGAGAATCAATTTCCCGGTTCTTGACTAAAATCTTGCAAGTAGAATGTGAGATGCGCTGACGTGTTGCAGGCCATACCCCCTGGGAGGCTAAGACTTACATGCTACGGAGTGGATACACTCTACTCGAAAATGGATATACTACTCTGCCCGATGGAACTCTTTACATTGCAGTTCGGACCGCGATCCCGCAAAGTACGTAGAAATAACCAGCGTCCCGTATTTCAGATTGTTTGGTGTTTAATATTTGACAGTTACCGGTGACGCCTACAATTGGTGGTTTGGTTGGCACCTAACAGATACATCCAGGTAGGTTTGCCTCGGCACCGACGAGAAGTCAAGGCAGGGTCATTTTGCAACACTCGATACAAATCTAATGTCTAAACAGATACAAGCTTTGGAACCCAATTGCACATCAATATGCCTGGCGGCATCCTAACACCATGGATTGGTCCAACAAGAGCCTTCCTGAGCGCTATATCAATACATACTCATTTATATCTGAGTTTATCGGGAATGACTGTTCCAAGCTAACCATCGCTTTCATTGATCCCCAGGAGCTAGGGATTGACAAATTCAAATTTGAAGAGCAAGGCATTGAGGCCATGGTCGTTGGTCGCTTAAAAGTTGGCGGTATGATCCTCCTCACCTGCCCACAAATCCGAGAATCAAAGCTCGCTGACAGGCTCTGCACAGAGCACATCACATCTGGTTTTGACAATAAGTCTTTCTTAATTCATCAGGTCCGACGTAAGCCAAATGGTGAAAGAGAACTTCGATCCAGGTTTTGGATTGCCGATGCAACCCCCCAAGTCGGACATGACCTTACAGTGCACTGTGCCATCGAGATGTCCCGTAAGTCGTGCATTCACTCCCGAGGGAAAGCAGAGTATGGACAGCTTATTGATATGGTGGAATAGACCTGAATTGCTTCTTACCGTCACTGTATGAAGAATTTAAGCAAATTCCATAGGTAGTGACCCGAGGAGTTATCATTTGTGAATACCGATGGTGTTATTGCTCTTCAGAGATAATGCTTCAAAGTAAACTAGTGGGTCAAAAGTCTGATTACACCCGAAAAAATCAGAAAAACGCAACGAATTTAAACTCAATTTTCTTAACTAATTTAAAAGATATCGATCTACAAAGTAATTCTATATAATCCTTATATTAATACTTTATATACATGAAGGTTTACATAGTACTCGAGTTACGAGTGCTCGGTCGACCGATGCGACCCGTTCAAGGAGAGGGGGTTGCCGAAGAGTTCTTGAGAAATATATCCCCAAGGTACCTTGGTATATTTTTGAATCACATCGATGCATCGACAAGATGGAAGTTTGTTAAGATTGTATATATATATGTTCCCTCGTGCGAATCGTATATGAAGAGTAGAGAATGACGTACCGAGGTAAAGTAGACATCGCATAGCCTCAAATCGAAGTATGTTTTTAGAAATAGGTAAATCTAGCATTACGTGTCGCTGAGCCTCTCCGCTGCCTGTTTTGGCTTCCTATGACTGATGGAGATTGGCATTAGTCATTGTCCACGACCACAATCAGGTAGTAGACGAGGTTAAGGTCGAAGTATTGTGGGTCAATTGACGGTATAAAAGGAGTGTTCAAGAAGAGGGAGCAGGAAGTTGCCTGGAACTTGAAGCTGACATATAAAGTCTGTCTGTCTGGTATAGTTCCAGCCGAATTGGCACGTGCACGGGCAAAAGGAATCGGTGGCCAAGGCCCAGGCAGACTGGATTCCTTCCTGGAGCCTGGGGTCTGTACGAGAGCTGCGGCCAGGTCACTAGTGGTGGGTTAGCCTGCGTTTATTATTGATGGCCGACCGTTGTAGGTTGTCATGGCCTGATATCGTGGGTGATACGGACCAGTCAGCCATCCTGCTCACCTGTTGGTAGATTAAATCGGAAATGTCTCACTTGTTATTTATTCCAAAGATTGTCTTTATTCATTTTTGTCTGCCTGAAAGGAATTAGAGACATAGTAATTCATCCCTCCCCATGATAGTATAGTCTATAAATATTGCTGCCGCTTTTTCCCATCTCTATAGATTTTATTTTTTTTATATTCTTGGGTAATAAACATTCCAGAATGACCTGATTCTTTGGCTCGGGTGCCATTGAAAATTACACACTAAGTGTATTGCGTATCGTTTTCTTCGGATGCGAGAACGGGCGGATCCATTCATCCATGGACCGGGATTGGAAGAAACGACGACCGACTCTTGGTCAGACCAGGAACTCGATACTAGTATCCATTTCTACCTTGGTATTTAGTTGGGGGAGGCACGGTATTGACGGGGAGGAATTAATCTCCTAAGGGGCATTTCATAGGTGCATCCGACTTGGGGGACCATCAAATGTGATACCGCTGACAGAAGTACCTTACAGCAGGGCGGTTAATGAGAGACATGGATGGTTTCATGGCCTATACTACTTACTGTATATAATTTTACCATCCCCTATTCTTACGACCCCAACCATTAATTGACCATGCTATCTATCTATACTGGGATTCTTAGGGGGCAGATTAATCGCGTATAGAACATAAGTGACAACTATTTGACTCAACGCATGGATCACTGGATATAAGAACTGCTACTACTACTACTATATAAGGATCAAGATATAAATATCAAGAATGAGATTAATTCCGAGAATAGAAGCGCAGTTTCATAGCCACGGTGCTCAGGCGGGAGGGTTAAACGTGAGCTTCTGGTACGACGGTGGACACAAAATACAAGCCAATGGACACTAGCGATTAACTTTCTTGTAAATCAGCAGTAAATTCAAATCAACTCAAAGAGAGAAATGATGAGAGACTGAAACAGAACATCACATCCCTCAAAGCATGTAGAAAATCAATTCGAGCAGATTTAAATCTTGGTAGAGAATATCATATAAAATATCATTTGGATGTATAGATTATTGATGGTCTTTTGGAAATCAACCCCGTGATTGAAATTTTTTTTTTTCTAA